TCTTCCATTTGTAGGAAAACCTTCCAATCCCCCGGGTATAAATTCGAATAAGGGATTAGTGAACCCCCTTGTCCTAGGTATGGCTTCAAACCTGGGATTTGGAGCCATTCTTATGCCATTTTCTTGCACTGGGCCAGATCTTCCAATTTGCATGGCTTCACTGTTAAGTACTGAGGCATTTTGACCTGCTATAGGCCTCGAAATAGGTTCATACCAAGACTGAGGTGATGGTCTTTCATAGTTTTGATTACTAGTTTGACCATTAGAATGTCCATTAACTTGCATAGGCTGTTTATCTCCAGCCAATCTTTGCTGAGGGACATTCGAAACTTCCTCCATGTGTCTTGCGTTTATTGGTTGGTAGTTATTCATTCGATCCAAAAAGGATGTTGCCCATTTTCCCATCGTGTTCATTAATTGCTGTCCTATAGCATCTACTAGGCCATTCCACGGATTTATTGGCTGAGTAGATGGAACAGTGGATGGTCCAATTCCTTGGTCTCGTCCAATATTATGAACATGTGGTACTTGTTCCGAGGTGCTGGTCTGTTCGACCATAGGTTCTGATACAATAGGAGTTTTCACAGGACGTGTTATCACATTATCCTCTAGATTAGGTATCTCTACCTCTCCTTCTACGCCTTCTTCCAAGCGTTCATTTTCTCCTTGTCTTCTATGTCTAGCCATTTCAATTAGTCCCACTGGGCGTGCCAAAAATATATGTTGGCTTTTTGGCTTTCGAAGGTTATTTTTGTAATTGCGAGCGTGCCAGCAAGAATCAATCAGTCCTTATAAAAAATTAATTGCCAACCAATTATCAGACAATTGTTTTTTAGTTCTTTCAGCCTCAATGAAGAGGACTTTTACTAGTGGCTTGATTTAGGAGAATTAAGCAAAATAACAATTAAATGAAGAACAATTGAAGCATTTCATTAGAATGAAAAACTTACAATCCAAACTCAGCCTCGTAGAGGTTTACAGCGACAATCTACTTGAAATTACTCCTATGAACGAAGTGCAGTGCAGGAATTTTAAAGTGCAGAAACGTAAAGAACAGGAAATATAAAACTGGAAATGTAAGACTGGAAAAGAAATAAAGTAGAATAAGACTGGTTTTTTGGATCTGAGTTTGGATTTTTTGGATCTTCTCTGCTATTTATACTTCTCAAGGATGACCATCGAATTGCATTTCCAACCGTCGAACTGCTCCTCAATGATCGTTGATCATGTTGCCTTATAATTAGCTCCACTATACTATCTCTTGCAGTTAGACTTCCCTCCTAATTTTGAATTTAAATATGAGTAACCGTTGAAGTCACGTCACTCTGTATCTCTTTGTTGATCCACTGCTACTCAGATCTCGTAATAACCAATATTAACTGCCACGTATACGATCAGGATCGAAGACTTGAATAGTCTTCCTATATTACCCTTATTCTGCCACGCGTCGAATTGTAGTTGGCTTGTACAAAATATGTAGCCAACAGTAATATATTTTTATAATTGAAAAGATCATAAATATACACAAAAAAAAAAAAATTAAAATAGTATTTATTAATAATTAAAAAGTCTTTAAGTAAATAATCCTAAAAATAAATAATTATGTACAATAGAATCTAATATAATTTTCCAATTGTACGTGGGTTTTTTTTTTTTAACTAGCGTAAAGTCTTTGTGTATATTATTTATAAAAAAATTAAATCGATTCGATAATCATAACATATTCAATTTATCATCTTTGTCTCAAAAAAAATATAATAATGATCTTATTATTAACATTAACAATCCCGCTAGGTAGCTCGAATAACTTGTGGCTCGAGGTACCAAAACGATATCGTTTGGACACTTTTTTTTTTTCTTCTTTTCTTCTTCCTTCCCAACTTTTCTATCCGTTTTCTCTCTGAAATAGAAAGAAGAAGGAGAAAAGAAGGAGATGATGAGAGAAGAAAAAGAAGAGAGGGGAACAGAGAGAGAGAGAAAAGAGGGGGAAACAAAAAGAGAGCCGAAACTCCCACCCACTGGCACCCCTATCACCATTGCAAACCCTCCACCCACCGGTGCCGCCATCACCGTCGCCCATCACCATCATCGTTGCTCTGTGTGTATACATAGATCTGTGTATACACACGTAGATCTGTGCCCCTCTCTTATTTTCTTGTTATATCTTCCTCTCTCTTTTCTTTGTTTCCCCTCTCTTTCTTTTTTGGCCTCTCTATTTCAGAAAGAAAAGAGTGGGGGAAAAAAAATGGCCACTCGGTGGACTTCGACAGTGATCCGGATTGTGGGTGTCGGAGAATGAAGATGCTTTTGGAGAGAGAGAGAGAGAGATACCAGGAGTGTTAGAATAGAGTGAGAGAGAGAGAGAGAGAGAGAGGGAGAGAATTTCGGGCCACTAGAGCCTAAAAAAATCGAGCTACATAGCATTTTTCTAAGGCAACAACCGTGGCAAGTGTAAAGTCATGACTGTACAATAGGGTCTAATTAAGACGCTACATATTATTACTTTTCAGATGAGGATTTCCTTCTGTCTAAAATTTGGATTGGAAGAGATTGTTTAGGTTTGTAGAGTCCATTACAGATCCTGTTTTAATTAGTTAAACCATCTATTTTGTCAGGTACTTCTTATATTTCATTCACAAAAAAATTAGGTCAATTTGATAACTGCAACTTGTTCAAATTATTGCTTTTGTCATTAAAAAAATATATGATTTATTTTTTAAAAGCATAATTGTCGTCTATTTTTTTAGTGAAAAATACAGTAAATTGAATAGGTTCTAGTTATCAAATCGACATATTTTTGTGTGAATGAAATACACAAAGTGTTCGACAAAGTATCATTTCATTATCACAAATGACATAACTCAATATAATAGGTTTCCTAACTTCAAAAAATAAAAAAAATAAAAAACAATAAAAAATTGCCTTGTACTAAATATCACATGATGGAAGAGGGAGAGTTATATTATTTGATGAAAATTACGAGTTTTTGAAAAAAAATTAGAAAGTAGTTTTGTGAAGACTCAATACAACCAAAAAAAATATGTATATATTTTTTCTGTCATTTTTGTTTTGTGCTTATGGAAACAAATAATAATAATTATAAGAAGAAGAAGAAGAAGTGGTTCAAAAAACAAAAAAAAACATCCTTATATGAAAATAATAGTTAAAGATTCAAAAACAAATGTTTAATTGTATCCATAAAATTTTGTCAAAAACGGCTTTTGGAAACAGTTAAACAACCAAACATCTTGTGTTCTCTCAAAAAATATAAATAAAAAAACAAAAGTACAATACAAACAGGTTTACCTGAATAAAAGAAATTGAACCTATTATACAGTTGCTGTCAATTAGCAAACAAAAACTACTTTCTAAATATTTTTCGAAAACTTATTATTTTCATCAACTAAAATAGTATTCAATGCAAAATTAAAATGATCCATTGTATGGAGGAGAGTTACAAAATTTGATGAGAAAATGAAAAGACATTTTAGAAGGAAAAATAGAAAATGTAAAATATTTATTAAAAAAAAAAAAAACCAAGAGACATTTTATATATGACATATGTCATATTCTAAGATGAACATTTTAAACTTGTCATGGTAAAGTCATTGCTTTACTTATATTTTATATGATATGTTATAGCAGCCTTTTTTTTAAAAAACAAATTTCTTAGCTAATGTTTATAAAGACACTTGTTAACAAAATGATTTTAATTTTTTAGAAAGCCGACTTTGAAAAAGACCTCCATACCAACAAAAAAAAAAAAAACTACTCACAAGCATAATACAAGTTCCACATAATTAGAAAATGCCTCTTTCAATTTAGTTTATAAAAAAAAGTACCTATTCGATTTTTAAAAGGTTCACATTATTAAAAAATATCTCCATCTATAATTATAAAAAGATTGACTTTAATATATAAAAAAATTCCACCAACTTAGAATAGGTTGAAGTTTATTAGTCTTCAATTTATTTTCTACCGAGACTTCATTTTAAATGTGCATGTTATTTTAAATTTAGGACACAGCTTCTTTTCCAGTTGAAATCGAATTTAATTGTGCTGTTGGACTATATTGAGCTCAATTCTAAGCCCATCTCGATAATTTAGACCATTCAATATGTAGAGTTCGTCGAGTACATCATTTTTGCAAAAAATTATGTTAATTGGATTTCAATGACATTTATGATTTTTAAAATAAATTGCAAACACAAATGCAAGCTGATCAAGTATCAACCAATGTCCGATTAACGTGATTTTTTGCAAAGATTATGCACTCGACGAACTCTATATATTGAATGATTTGGATCATCAAGATGAACCAAAAACCAAGCCCAACAAATACCGTCCAATCTGTTTCCAAATTGGAGAGGAGCTGGACCCTTAAATTTAAATAAGGGTCTTGCTAATAAGGGGCCCTAGGGCACAACTAAAAGAAAAAATATTTGCACAACACAATACACTTTTATTGAAATTAATACAATTTTTAATATTTTTATAGATTTTTAAGACACTTTTTACACACTTTTCAACATTAAACAATGCGTATGGGACACTTATTAGCATTTGCCTTTAAGTAAAAGGTTTGATTTTATACAAATTATTTTAATTATTTTATTAAATTTTTAATAAAAAACCATCTCTTATTTCAAAATTTTCATTTTGTCAAATTTGATGGGAAACAAAATCATATTTAATTCTTATTTTTAATTTTTTTTATCATATTTAAATTTGACGAATGATTTTTTTAAAAAAAATTTAATTTGATGAAGAAATTATTGTTTTTTAATTTGATGAATATTTGACTCAAGTTTTTTAACACTTTTTTATCAAAATTAAAAGTTGAAATGCTCTACTGAAAATGAGGGAAGAGGGGAGAGTAGGTGATGAATTGAAAAAGAGGGAGTTGAAAAAATAATATTTAAACTAAAATTTTTATTAGTTTTTTTTTTGGTTTTGTTTTGTCAATTTGAAATTTCAGATAGTTAACCAAACAGCCCTGTCCCATTTATTTTTCCCAATAATCAAAGACTTGTGGATAGAATATAGAGAATAGCACCCACATGTTCTCATCTCAATTATTTGAGAAATGGTAGCTTGAAGCTTCCCAACACCTTCTAGCTTCACAACACAAAAGTCTGTTTTGTATTCTCTAGTAATTGTTTCCAATCCAATCCAAGTTTTCTTTTGGAATTGTAAAAAAAAGAAAGATCAAAGATGTCTGTCCCTGTTCTCATCTCTGCTGCTCAGGTGATCCTGAATCCCTTGATTCCACTAGCAACTGAACAGATCAAACTGGCGTGGGGTTTCAAGGATGACCTTCGAAGGCTTAAAGATAGGTTGGAATTCGCACAAGCTCTGTTATGTGATGCTGAGAACCACCGAGGACGAGTAAATCTAAAAATCATGCAAGTTTGGCTGAAGAAACTCAACTCTGTTGCATGTAGTGCGGATGACGTGCTGGATGGACTTGCCTTTGAAGTCCTTTGATGAAAGATGGAGGTACAAAACCGATTCATGAGGAACAACAAGGTATGCAAGTCCTTCTTCTTCTGCCTCTCAAATCCACTGCCATTTCGTTTCAAGATGGCTAATAAGGTCAAGAATATCAATTTCTTGTTAGACAATCTTTGTAAAGATGCAGATGGCTTCGGTCTTAAACCAGTTGATCAGATCTTAAATGCTGCTAGTACTAGTTTTGAACCTAGAGAAGTCAATTTCAGGCTGACTCACCCCTTTGTAGATGATAAACAAGTTGTGGGAAGGGATGGTGATGTGTCAACAGTGATAGACATGTTACTTAGCTTTGACAACACTCTAGATGATTTACCTGTCATTGCCATTGTAGGAATGGGTGGGATGGGCAAGACAACCCTTGCTTAGCTAGTTTACAACAATGACAAGGTGGTGAAGCATTTTGGTTATCAAAGGATGTGGATTTGTGTGTCTGATGATTTCATAGTTCCAAAGCTATTGAATCAGATGGTACAATCTCTTACTGGGGATAGGTCTGACGTAGATAATATTCAAGGAATAGTGACAAAGCTTGCAGCAAAACTAAATGGCGAAAAGTATTTGCTTGTACTAGACGATGTTTGGAATGAAAATCCGCACTCATGGGAATGCATGAGAAATTCTTTGCTAGGGATAGGTGGATCCAAGGGAAGCAAAATTATAGCTACAACCAGGGGTATGCAAGTCGTATGTACCATGAGGACATCTCCATCTCTCACTCATCATTTGAGCCAACTATCAAAAAATGAAAGTTGGACCATGTTTCGGAAAAGAGCATTTGCAAATGGAGGACCAACAGAGACCCTAGATTTGGTGGCTATTGGTAGAAAAATGATGGAAAAGTGTAAGGGTGTACCATTGGCAATAAAGTCACTAGGAGGTTTAATGTACTCTAAGAAGCACTTTCATGAATGAGAGTTGATCAAAAATAGTGAAATATGGAGGTCAACTGAAATCAAAGAAGGAATTCAACCGATATTAAGGTTAAGTTTTGATCACTTACCATCACCGTATTTGAAACACTGTTTTGCGTATTGTTCTATTTTTCCAAAAGATTGCAACATTCAAAAGGATGAGTTGATTCAACTTTGGATGGCTCAAGGATATCTCCAGCCTTCTTCGGGAAGCAATTTGGAAATGGAAGATGTTGGTAATGATTATTTTAATATATTGTTGTACAATTCTTTATTTCAAGATGTACAATTGGATGACTACAATAACATTACCACATGCAAAATGCACGATCTTGTGCATGATCTAGCACTGGATGTCTCAGAGGGTAAATGTTTGGCTTTGACTTCGATTGCTACTGAGGCGAATTACCATCCCGAGGTTCAACATCTAATGGTAAAAACAAGATTTGAAATTCCAAAAGAAAATGTTGGAAAACTGAGGACACTATTTTTAACTGGCAATCTTCCTAAAAGCATTGCAGAAGTCGAGTGTATACGTACCATGAGTTTGGTAGACTGGTAGCAGAAAGAGTTGCCAAGTTCCTTACGTAAGCTCATACATTTGAGGTATCTTGATGTCTCAAGGTCATATTTTAGAACACTGCCAAATTTTTTGACCATGCTCTATAATTTGCAAACACTGAGACTTTCATCTTTTGCCTTTCAAAATCTTCCAAAAAAGTTCTATGAGTTGGTGAGCTTGAGACATTTTTATATTGATGATGATGAACATAACAGAAAATTGATGCCAATGATGATAGGGAAGTTGACTTCTTTGCAGACATTACCATTCTTTGTTGTGGGTGAGGATGAGGGCTGTAAAATTGAAGAGCTGGGTAGCTTAAACAAACTAAGAGGTAAATTAATGATTTACAATCTCCAACAGGTGAAAAGCAGGGAAGATACAGAAAAGGCAAAAATATTAGGAAAACCAAACATTTGTGAATTGGGATTTCACTGGGATAGGGTGGGCAATCCTTCAACAGCAGGAGACACTACTAGCATTAACCACGAAGACATGTTGGAAGGACTTAAACCTTGTGGGAACCTTAAGGTTTTAAAACTCAAGAAATTTGAAGGACAAAATTTTGTATCATGGATGATGAGTGGTAGAGATGCGCAGTTGCTTCAAAATTTGGTTAAGATAGAATTATCCAAGTGCACAAGATGTGAACAAGTCCCACCACTCGGACACCTTCCACATCTTGAGGTTATCAAATTGTCTGGATTAAGTAATCTGAAACGTATTGGTCCTGAATTCTATGGTTGTCACAGTGTTGTTAATCATGATCAATGTAACGATGGCATCATCACTGGTAGCTATAGTGGGGCAGTAACAACAGCAACAACAAAAGCTACGGCTGTTGTATTTCAAGCACTAAGAGAACTTCATCTAGAAGATATGCCGAAGATAGAAGAATGGTGTGGGCTTGGGGTATCATCATCGTCGTTGGACACCACAATGTTCTTTCCTCTGCTTGAGTTTGTTCGCATTAGGTATTGCCCTGAGTTGACTACAATTCCAGGTCACTTGTTATCCTTACAGGAATTGATTTGCAGTGATTACGAGCGTTATGACCTGCATACGCATCACCCTTCCTTGAGAATAGAAACTTGGGGTTTGAAATCGAAGATTGGTGTTTTACTGGTAGATTTGCTGGAAAAAAGCGGCAAAACCCTAAGAATGCTGATCATATGGAATTGTGAAGAGCTATGTTATTTGTTATTTGCCGATTAACTTACAGAACCTAGCATCTCTTGAAGACTTATCGATAGATCGATGCCCAAATCTAAAGTCTATAATTAAAGAAACAAAAGAAAAAGAAGAAGAAGCGTCCAATTGCAGCGGCTTAACATCTCTTCAGCAGCTTGAGATTTCATTTTGCGAAGAATTGACATGTTTACCAAAGGGGCTATTACAACAAACCCTTGTAACATTAGAGATATTCCGCTGTCCGAATTTAATAATTGTCAATCCAGATGAATTATGTAGCCTTCCATCCCTTCAGAACTTGAGGATTCAAGCATGTCCAAGATTGGCCGGTTGGTGGGAGGAGAGGCTATTTTGCCTAACCAGCCTTCAAACATTGAGGATAGGTGAATTCTTAGAAGAGCTCGAATATTTCCCATGGCCTTCCACCACCTTAAGTGCTGCATCTGCATCTGCATCTGCTTCCATTTCTGCTTCCGCTACTGCTACTGCAGAGGAGGAGGTTGATGATGATGATACCAAATATCACCCAAACCCCAAACACTACCCCTTCATCTCCTTGGTGTCTCTGACTCTATATGGCTGGAAAAGGCTCAAGTATCTGCCTGATCAACTTCAGCACCTCACTACCTTGCGTGACTTGTCAATTTTAGAGTTTAAAGGACTAGAAACTCTGCCGGAGTGGTTGGGTAACCTTTCATCTCTTCATTCTTTGGTGCTTACGGGTTGCAAGAATCTGATGAATCTTCCCACCCTAGAAGCAATGCAACGCCTCACCAATTTACAATCTTTGACAATTCATTTTTGTCGCCTTCTAAAGGAAAGATGCGCAAGGGAAAGCGGCCAAGAATGGCACAAGATTGCCCATATTCCAGACATTTTCATTGCAAGGTAACTTATATATTTCTCCAATTGTTATCCATATTCAGTTAAAGATGCTCGTCAAGTGAAAAACTAATTTCTACAATCAACCAGTCTTCAAAATTCTTTCATGCTTAGCTTTGAGTCAAATATTGATTTTCTATACCTAACACAAAAAAAAAAAAAAAAAAATTCGGAAGGTATGCCAGCGCTCTTGCGTGTTGCATTGTGCATCCATCTTCATGATGCAAATGTTGGTTTTATGTTGTTATTACAAAGACATGAATTGAATGAGCTAATTTTCAGAAAATGGGAAGAGAAAAATGACTTCCTAATTATATTAGTCAACTTTGTTTTCAAAACATGGGAATTATTATGTTTATCTGCAACCAATTGAAAAGGCCAATTTTCAGTGTTAATCAGAATTTTATTTTTATGGATTTTGTATTCATCCTAAAAAATGATCTATAGGTTTGATTAGAATGTTTATGAAATTTGAGGATTTTGTGTCCCTCCTAAAAAATCATCTATAGGTTTGATTAGAATGTTCTCGAATTTGAGGATTTTGTATCCCTTCTAAAAAATATCGATGGGATTTGATGAAATGACATGTTTCAATTTGAACCAACGCTTTTATGATGTTCAAATTTCAAATAATCTCATTTTAGTTCCTGAAGCTAAATGATCTAAAACCCATAGGGTGTGTTTGTTTGAACGGACTAGATAACAGGGGATTGTAATCCATCGGACTGTTAGTCATGGGATACATTGTCCCCGGACTATTTGGTTGGACATAATTTGTATCATATATTTGTTTAGTCATGGGATTAGATGTCTGGATTGGACTATTTTTAGTGAATCCAATGTTTGGTTGGACGGACTAGATAAGGATAAATGTTCAAAAGACCATTTTATCCTTGTAATTTATAGTTTTTATTTAATATATAATTTTAAATTTGTAATCTATAATTTATAATTTATAATTTAACAGCACTGAAATTTTTTAATTTATAAAGCCATAATTTTTAATTTATTATTTCCAGTTAAATTAAATTTATAATTTATATTTTTTATTTAATATATAATTTTAAATTAACAATACTAAAAAAATAATTTTATTTAATATATAAATTTAATTTTTTAACAACACTAAAAAAATTATAAGGCCATAATTTTTAATTTATTATTTTTAATTAAATTAAATTTATAATTTATCATTTATATTTTTTATTTAATATATAATTTTAAATTAACATCACCAAAAAAATAATTTATAAGTGCTCAAAAGACTATTTTACCCTTTTTTAATTGTTTATTAAGTAATAGCATGAGGGTAATGTCACACCCCAAACTCGGGTATGACCAGCCGTGGCTCACAGGGCCTTAGCCCAAGGCACACGTAAGCCTAAACACGAATCCATACACAATGAATAACTATAAAATAGTCCATTAATAAATAACCAAACTCAATCCAGTCATGCCACAATTATAAACGGCAAAATCAACCGTAATCAAAACTATCCAAACTTATGCAATATGCCCACATATCAAAATAATCCTAAATGAATCCTAATAAAAAAAAATAAAAATAAATATGCACAACTTGACATAACAATCTAAAAATAAATAAATGAATGTCCTAGAGGTCCATGCAATCGAGTCCCTGCTATGCCATGAGTCCACTCTAAGTCCTTCTAACACCTGGAAATGGTAAACAACTATTAGTTGATAATTCAGTGAGTAGCAACATGGATAGTATATATAGTTTTGAAAACAGAGATCAATTCCAAAATAAGATATATATCACATAAATTAGATTGGCATATAGTTTGGTAAAGAGAATTTGTTTAAAAAAGAAGGTTCCACAGTCCAATAGTTAAAATACTCATGTCTCTCAAGAACATGATAAATGACATTTTTCACTTAAAACAGATTACAACATGAACACCAAAAATTTTCTGGGTACTAAGAAAATAACAAGTAATATGCCACACAGTTCTCAAGGCTATAAGCTCCGTTGGATTCAATACCGAACTAAGAGTCATCCTCAGGGTAGCAACCTAGGCCTTTTTTCAAAGACGATCCCATTGAAGGTCACCTAGCTTAACCTAGGTCTTTTTCTTACAATCGTTGAGCACTAGAGTCATCACAGCCCAACCCAGATCTGTTCCCTAGTGGCCAGAGTCACCATACACAGTAGAATAATTTCCCTAGACTAAATACACAGATAGTCCCAATAATCAATACACATCAATTTTGCAAAACATGGTAGTTCATCATTATAAACAGGAGACCAAAACAAATAGTTTACAGTATGCCAAGTTCACACATGTTTCGGAAATAATTTGATTCCATTGATAATATAATAATTTATCAAAACAGTTTAGTCATGAAACAATAATTTAATTTTCCAACAGGTCAGGGTAGGGGAACATTTGTAAAAATATGTAGCATGAAACTACTCACCTGAAAACGGAACAATGTAATCCTTGAATAGAGTATAAAAGTCCAACTAGTGCCCTGAACCAAGTATAAAAACTATACGTCACTAGTAATTTAAAAATACTAAAGAATAAGAACTAAGTAACCCCAAACTAAAGCGCACTAACACGGCTCAACCCAACTCCCCGTTACTCTTAAATATTATCTGAGTTTATGTTCTTCAAGGTCTAAAATCACCCAAGACATGGGTTCCGGTCGAAACTTATTTAAACGTAACTTTAAGATAAAACAAAATTTTAAACTAGTTTTTTCAATCTATTTGCTAACTTTGAAAATTAAAAAACCCACTCCACACTATTCGAAAAATTTCAAAATCCTCCAGATATCAACTAATATATCCTAAGTTTCAAACCCAAATAGTTTTACTTGATTTGCTTATCAAAATAATTATTTACAATTAATTATGCCCAAACAGGTTGTTTCTGCAGCACTTTAAATAAATTAATGGTTCTCTTAGTATACAGGAGCAATCAACGCAAGGCCAAAAATGTAAGAAACTAGACTCGTAACTGGTTCTAATGACGCTGATTTGATAATTTTCGGATTTATACCCAAAGAGAACAACATTCCCGAATTTACTATTTAAACTAGTTTTTCTGGACAGATTTGAACGCATCAGTTTATATGGATTTTGACTCCCAAAAATTATGAAAAAATTCAGATATGCAATTCAATATGTAATTAATCTACTGTAAAAATTTCAGTTCAAAATTCATTCGTTTAATATGGTTTCTTGATTTTTAAAGTTCGTGATTATGTGCAGAATTTTTGAACTAAGAATAATACCCATTCTTTATATATGAATTTAACTCCTCAGATTTCTTAACAGTATATATATATAGACACAAAATACATATACCTACAACCTCTCCATCAATGAATTATATAACAATAGAATAAGGATAAAGAACAAAGAAAGAAGTGAAGAAAACCTAAGAGGCCACAAGGCACAACACACACAAAGCTCTCCTTCTTGGCTACAACAATAATCTTGATGATTGAATCATCCCTCACTTTCCTTCATAACCCACGGCTGCTAGGGCTGCTAGGGCATCTAGTGTGGTGGAAAACAATTAACAAGAGTTAGGGTTTTTGTTATCCTTATATACATATGTATCTAACCAAAAGGCTCTAATTTACTATCGCTTTATATTATTTTAATTTCTATCTCCATTAAAATATAAATATTATTAGATCAAAATATGCTTACTAATTTGGCACTTAAATTTATTTTTATTTTTATTTTTTTAAAATAATAATTCTTGCCTCTAAATTAAAGACTTTCCCCATAAATTTATTTTAGGTTTAAAAATTAATTAAAAGACCTTCTAAATATTTAATTTGCACTTTAAGATTCACCACCAAAATATTTTGAAATTGTAATATTATTATTATTTAATTATTTACTTGATTTGTATATCAGAGCTAAATGCATATTTTTCTGATCAAATTAATTTTGTAGGCTCTAGCAATGGCCATCAACGGAGTGAACTCATCATTCGAAGACTAGTTTCTCTTTCATCTACACATTCTACATTTCTAAATTTTTGAGTGAGAATCATCATTAGGTCAAGTGGAGTGCTATTGATTGTATTGTGAAAATCCATTCTTGGGTTTTTTGGAAACTCTTGTAGTTTATTGAACAGTAGTCGATACAGAAGGAGTGCTTGTCAAATGTAGATTCATTCGATCTTTTGGTGGTTGTATTGTGAAATTTATTTTTGCATATTTACTGTAACATACAATAATGTTATTTCTCCCTTTTTATTGTTTTGTTGGTTGTTGAGTTTAACCACAGAATGTAACCAAAGCCAGATAAATATATATAAGTATTCATTTCATCATGTATTTTTAGTTGCTTTCTCTTTGTTGTGTGGTTAATGAAAAACAAATACTCCTATATAGTGGGTTTTTTTGTTTTTTCTATTAACAAAATTCACATTTAAATATACTGTTAATAATTGTTTGAGTAGTTGAATGACGAGCTAAATGGCTCTAAACTGTGAAGTTATTTGTAAAGTAATTATGCCATTGGTCCAACTTACCCATAAGCTATTGTATTTTGAAACTGCAAAACAAATATTCATTAATGTTGCTCTTGTCCTTTCCAAAATGGTAATTGTTCTCGCTCTCTCTCTCTCACATTGTTTTTCTTTCTTTTTTTTTTTTACTGTTAATTTTTTCACTCTCTTTCTTCCCTTTATTCACCATTATTTCTAATAAACCGGTAATCTTGTAATTCATGTTCTGCATAGAAGAGATTAGAATCAAGTTATCTGTTATTTAATCTTCAGTTTAATTGATGGATTCTTTTCGTGTTCTTCATTTTGTTGAATTTTTTTTCCCCCTCGTTCTTATCAAGGGCCTAAAATTGTTAGTTTCTCATGAATAAATGGTTATTTATTTAAGTCAATTTGTGATGCAGAAGAAAACTATAAGCGGACAGTGTTGGATGTGAATGGGAGTGAAGGTCCATTGATTAGTTCTAGATAAAATTTCTTATATTAACTTGACATTTTCTCTATTCCTTTG